AACAAATTGTTATCAGGATCTGTAAGAACGAAAGTCTTACTATTTTTATATACTTTAACTTACTTAACTATTATTGTTCTGTGGAATTTATAATAGAGATTGTCTGCCATACTCAGTCGATAAATGACCACTAAGAAACTCTCGAAGTGTATGAAGTACTAGCTGTTCTAGTGACTTCGCCTGCGTGAAATTAAAAAAATATGGCCTATGTTATTCGGAGGTAAATCACCTTTCTAACGCAGAAAGAATTTTTGAAATAGGTCCAGTAGTTTTTACGTGAATCGAATACACATAAAAACATAAGTCTTTCTTCTGTATGAAATTAGTATAGATATTAAATTTAAATTTACTGTCGCACTAAAAATTCTGTGTTTAATTTATTTTTACTTAGGTCTGCAATATTTTAACATTTCAACAAAAATTATTGAACACGCGACGTAGCCGGGGGATAATGCTAGTTTATGGGCCACAGCGCAACAGTGCGTGAGTTTATAACCCGTAATAAATAATACGATTCGAGATTCGGTCGGCATGTGAAAAGTAGTATTTATTTGCACGAATAGCTTACCTATGTATTCTATAACCAAAGAGCTTGGAACATTTTTCGTGTAATCATCACTATTCATTTATTTTGTTTTTATTTATTTTATTAAAAATATTACATGAAAACAAATTAAAAAATATGCACAAATATGGCCCCGCAAAAACCATATAATTGGTTTGTCCGCGGGTGCGCTGGTTAAAACTATTATACTAACACCATCTATTAATAGATCCTGAAAACCAGTCAATATATTTAATTGTATTTAAATTAATTGCCAATAATTGTCATTATAATTTATTTTGTAACACCGTTTAGTTTGATTTTATAATAAAAGATGGCGCTTGTTATAATTTTGTTTAATGTTTTATTGTGTATGTTAAGGTGACATATTAAACTTGACATCTGAGATAGTACGTTTCAGAGTAAGTAGCGGTGAAAATATTTGCCTCGTCTATATATTATTTAAATGTCTTTGTCTATAACACATATATAGTACTGGCGAATGATTAATGAGTTAGTAGAGGCTCCGAGGTGTAATGACTTCGGCTAGTTACGTCGTAAACATTAATTATATCGTTATCCACTCTAAGCTTACGGGTGTATTGGGAACAGTTTATGACGGTGCGGTGCAATGATGAGTTAACGCCGTGTCTAATTGCGCAATGATTTCCGGAGTTTGCGCAGCGTTTATGTACATAATTGCTTAGTACAACAATTTGAAGATCGAATGTGGTAGTGAATAGGACAGTTTCTGTGGTGTACGAAATAAAAGACGTGCGTGCTGTCCAAGATGTATAATCCGACTAAATACAATTCTTTAATATTCACAGGGTATAATCATATAAGTCGTGTTATAATTATTACTAGTTACCTACATTACAGTTTCATCGACAACTTGTCCCTAAGGAGTATGTGCTGCATTTCCATACATCTCTATCAGCCGTCATATCTGAATTCACTTCCTTAAACATATCCTCTTTCATAATCCATCCATACTTTCTTCGGTATTCCTCTACTATTGTAACCATACATTCAATCTTAATACTTTATAGAATAGGACATTTTATAATAAATAAATGCAGGTTTAAAAATTACAATTACAAACCTCTACTTGAGACGTAAAAGAACTTACGCATTGAAAAATAAGATCGATTGGCTCCATTTTCCCACTGGGGTTTGATAAAGAAGCATCTGCGAAACATCGAAGTGACGAAGTAAAAGACTTGGGCAAAGTACTTTATCTAAACACGTGATTTATACAGTGGACTATCGTTCACACAGCGACCGGACGCAGCCCCCGCTTCCGGCCCGGCCGGGAACCCAAACAAACATATCGGGTTCGGTTAATCGGTTGAACATAAGCGTGATGCTTCCACTAACTCATAGAACTTATACAACATAGTCATATATTATTACATATTCTAGACAATATACTATGGTTTCACTATTCCTAAAAATCTTACAGTCAAACTACCTAGTATGGTTTCGTGAGACGAATGATTTACAAATATATTAGTAACAGAAATAGATAAATAAATAAAGATCGAAGATAAATAGCGCCAATAGCCTGATGGTTTGAGGTACGGACTACCGATCCTGCGGTCAAGAGTTCGAATCCCGCCATTCGACTATTGTCAAACCACATCCTAGCACAAGTTTAGAGCTTAGTTGGAATGGTTAAAGGTAATTAGGAAATTAACAATAATGTACTAAAATTTTGACAATAAAAAAGTAGATAACGCAGTACGGTTTGATTTTATCTATGGACTATTTTTGTGGTTAACTTTTTAACAATTTTGACGCGAACTAAATTGGGACAGTTGGTAACAATTATATAAAATATTTTTCCATAAAAAGCAAAACATTTACAGTATATGATTATAGAAATTGCGAATCTGTTATCTCTGCATAACCTTTTGGGTCATGGCTTATCTATATTTAGCTACATAATTATTCGCTCATTTATTTTCGTACCTGTTTTACGCCATTTTGCCTGTATCACAATTAAAATAAAGTTGAAATTGTTTTAATAGCATAAAATAGTATTTATCCCATCTCTTGTGAAATTCGTTGTTTATTACTTGTCCTATACATTTAATTTGACACTCACAATACAAGTTTGAAATTAGTCACATCCACATGTATCTTTCGTATCATATTCATACTGACTGTTTAACCATATCAGTTTCTTAAGACGAAATTATTTTCTTGATTGTTATAGGTACAGTCGGGGCATCTTGCGGTGTTCCACCTTAATTTGAAATGAGACGCGGAACAAAATACAAAGTAACATATAAATGTGTCTTATACGACAAAAATCGGTTAGTGATACATGGCTAGCTTCTTTTCATTATTATCAATTCGTTTGCACTCACTGCTATCTAGTTCTTGTAGGTAGCGGCAGAGTTTGTCTCCACGACTGTACTGGTACGGTTGACTACACATATACTTTGAAAGAATATTAACATCACTATAAAATGTAGGTCAACAAGATAGGTTCAATGTTAAGAACAAATGCGCATCGAATTTATACTCGTATCTCATCCAATTTTCAATCTCAACAGTTCATGGTTAAGAGGTACTTAATTATGCACTCAAGCGTCCCTGTAGCGAGCCTCTTAAGTTGGGACCAAGTTGATAAGTCGTCGAGAAGGCTCTTGATGACGCAAGTGACGTATAACTTAAGTAGACATGACAGCTTTTGAAACTATCTTTTGTATTGTACGTTTTTGCAGGTCAAAAATGATACATAGAAAATTATTAAGAAACCGTCTATAGATGTTCTACTTGATAAAAAATGGTAGTGAAAACTTATTTTTGGATTAGGAGAGGACCGACTATTACAATTATTAATTTGAACACACAAACAATTTTTATACTGTTTATGCACATACATTCGCTTATCGGGTTTTTAAAATTTGTAACTGCCGATTACTGAAACGACATTTAAAATGTCGCAGCGTCATAAATGGTAAGTTCAAGCTTAAACCTTTTCCTCGCAAATTTTTGACGCCTATCTGATTATAAGTTACTAGCTTTGCCCGGGACTCTATACACGTGAAATTAAAAAAAAAAGTGAGTAGCCTATGTGTTCTTCCAGACTATCCTCTACATCTGTACCAAATTTCATCAAAATCCGTGCAGCCGTTTAGGCTACAAACTCTAACAAACATCCATCCATTTAAACTTTCGCATTTATAATATTAGTATGAAGTATAATTACAAAGCGAAGGAAATATTTAAGATTCGTTTCATTATTTGTGTGTCTTTTAAATGTTAACTTCCAATATGTTTTCCATAAAAATAACTTAAGAATAAAGACAATATTATGCAAGAATGCAATACTGTGCAAGAAGCTTTAATAATAGTAATGAATTTATAAACAGTGTTCCGTAATAATGTGGATGCTTGTGTTGTTTTATGTACAATTTGTTGGAGAGCCGTTGTTTACCCTTTAACAAACTTATGTTCTAGCTGTGTTCAACTTCGACGTCGAACACGTGACGGGATTAACACAACATATCGAGTTCTACGTAAATATTACGTGACAAACTAAAATATAATCGGCAAATACCATATTATAGCTTTAGCTCATGGTATCGTTCGTATAGAATTAATAAAAGTTAGCCTATGTGTTCTTCCAAACTATGATCTACATCTATGCCAAATTCTTCGAAATTCGTTCAGCAGTTCAGCCTACAAACATCCATCCATTTAAACATTCGCATTTATAGTATTAGAAGATTGTAGGATTACTTCGAGATTTTAATAACTATGTAATTTTTAAAATTGTCGTTAATCTGTTAGCGATATTAAATTACACACTGTCCCTTTAAAATTTAGGAGGACTTTATTACACAGACAAATAAAGATACTATACATTCCATAGACAGATAAATCAATAGACATATTTTCTAATTTTAAGAATACAAAACCGCATTTCTAATAATGAAATAAAGACTTAAGACAGCGGAAGACAAATGTTTATAAAGTAACAAGAATGATTTATGGCTTTTTTCTAAAAATATACAGCAATTTTGTAATTGTACCAATCTTAAAAATCACAATTTTTTTTAACCAAAACACAATCGCTATACCAGTTATTTCTTAAAAAAAGTTTAAACTCATCTACTTTAGTAATCAATTTCATTTGTTACAGATAAATGTTTTTAAATCATCGAAATTTAAAATTCCGTTAAATAATTGTCGAATATTAGAAAATGAAGCTCCACTTGAGATGATATTTAATCTAACTATTGGATTAACTAGCGAAATAAGTATGCAAATTTTCAATGAATGTTTTAACGGTAGAAAACGATATACCAGAACATCCTAAAACAACTTTCGACTCGAAGTTTACTCGCGCTTTACGTTGTTACAGTTAAATTCACCGCAACGGCCGAGTACCCCTTGCCCTAGCATTAAATTCGACCCTTACAAACACTATCAAACTTACCGTTAAAACAGGTGAGCAGCCACAATAAAGCGGTGCACAGTTGCGTGAAAGAAACACGCCTGGCTTCCCGCCGCCGCACCATCTTACCAGAATCATCGAACTTCACTGAACCAATATACCACCCCCGAGAGGACACTCAATATAAACGAGCTACGGAATCCGACCCTCAGGCTATATCGTGACGTAACATAAAGTTCGTGCGCACCGTGAGACGCAAGACACGTCCGCTCACGACGCGGCCTCACGTAGAACTAAAGCTCGGGAAAGGCGGACAGGGTAGCGAGCGCAGGGCGGGGGAGGTTCATGTTTTGGATCTTCGCACGGCCATTTCCCTCCAAGTTCCCGCACACCACGTGCCGGGTTCAGTCAATTTTGTGTCTCAATGGTCGATGGGGCTATTTGTATTTTTATTGTCGTTGTTAAACTGTTTGTTGTTATTTGGAGTACTTTGATATTAATTGTTGCTGACAGTCGACGATGTCCGCGAGTTTTTTTTAACATTATTTTTATTGTTTTACATGCGCCGTATGATTTAATCTAGAATCAATTTGATAATTGGAGTTAATTCTTGAACAATTACTCACATGTTTTAGATATTTATTTTGAATTGTTTCATTTTATGATAATGGTTTGTTGTACAAAATAGAAAACAGCCCTTCGTTGATTGTTTGAAAAAACGATATGAACATAATTAACATAAAAAGAACAAACAAAACAATATGCGTTATTTGATTTTCCAACGATAATGTCGCCAACATCACGAAAGTCGTATTAAAGTTTAACAACGCGCAAAGTCATAAAAGCTCTGATATCGAGAATATCAGTTGAAAGTCATGTGGCGAAAATCTCGTGCGAAAGTTTGAGGCTGAGTCGATTTGTGAACTTTTAAATACGTCGAGACGGCCGTTTTGCGCACAAAATGTAATCTACTTCGGATCTTTTACTGAATAGTATTTTATTTGATTTAAATAAAAATCTAGTATATGTTTTATATTAGGTTTAGGCGGAATGTACCGATGATTCATGCTTTTTTGTACGTGCAGACGGCATTGTTCTAATTACAAGAAGTTGTCACGTCAGTTATTGGATCTTGAGACGTGTATTTGAGGTGGAATAAGACTTAAGGACCGATAACCTGGTCAAGATTGCAGGACTGCGTTGTATGCGGACGGCACGGGGCCGGGCATTGTGGCAATCGTTGAAGAATATGTTCAGCAGTGGACGAACTAAGGCTGATAATGATGATGATGATTAAGACTTAAGGAAGCTCCAACTGCAGGACCGGGGTGAGCTTGTGCAGGATCGAGATCGGTGTATTTTTTTTTCAGAGACTAAATATAAGATTTTATTTCAGAGACTAAAGCCTAATTATCTACCTCACTCTAGTTAAATTATTATAGTAAAAATATACATCATTGAAATGAATCTATTGAACTATTATTATAATTATAATTGCGAGGAATATAGAATTATTTTAACGACCGTCTGGGTCGTCTCATTTGTAGTTTTCTAAATCTTTAGTCAAATTACAACTATCCAAATAATTAAGTTTACAAATATAACTGACGGCAAAGTCAAAGTTCATATCGTCTTTTGTATTCGAGCTTATTATAGAGCTTTAATTTAAATACTTAAACCTTTGAATTAAGATTAAATTAGTTTTCAACTTCTGATTTAAGCTATTAAGAATGTAATTTTCTTTTCAAACAATTTATGAAGCATGTACAAATTAGGTACGTAAATATGAAAAATGTTTTACAATTCAAGGTCATACCAATGTTATCATTTTTTTATAACTTAATGACGTTTAATGGAAAAATTGATTGCTAAGTGCATGAGTAATAAAGTATTGTATAACATTTGATTGTACTATTGTCACAAACAATTTATTTCGTGATACGATCGCCATTTCAAAACTATCAAAGCCGCTTTGTTTCTAAAATTGTCTATATTTCAAACAAATGTATTGTTTGAAATATATTCATATATAATATATTTATTTAAAAAAGGATTTTATGTCGATGCAAACTTTGCTATATGGTTTTTTGGTAAATTTTCAAATGGTTTGAAAATCCCTGAAAATGCTTCACCGTAAAATGAAATTGTAAAAATGTTTTAATTGTACTAATACACATATTTGTATACATTTTAACAATGTTATGATTTTTTTTACCACGTAGAATAATCTCGCTTTTTACTAGTATTTCATTGCAAACGTTTAGATGGATATTTGTCAGTGTTTGTAGCTTAAATTGCTGAACGGATGTTGATGAAATTTGGCATAGATGTAGAACAGAATATCGAAGAACACATAGGCTACTTACTTTTAATTTTTACATCCCATCTTATAAAATACTGATGTAAATATGTATTACCGATCGTGAGATACAAAAATTTAACTAGTTAATGTTAGAATTGTTTAAAATTATTTCTAACGTCAAGTAACCAAGGCCATAACGCCTCCATTTTGTTCTATATTTCCATGCAGAATTGCTCGGAGGCTCGAAACGAGGAGAACATTCATTTGCATAAGAAGTTGCACAATATACCGCTCCTTTTAACTCGCTAGCGTAAGAAACTGAAGCATTTTGTTTGCCAACAATAGGTATTTTCTCTACTTTTTCGTAAAAAATAGGTTATGTTTGCTTAGTATTTTGTAGGCTCGTTTCCTTAAACTAATCATCAGAATGAAATCAGTTAATATAATCTGGAAATATAACAAACAAGATGAAACTTTAATTATTGTATATTTGGAACATTAAGTAAATTTGTATTAACTCCCGTAGTTTGGAGCAGCAGATATTACATATCCGAATATTATCTATGTCTCTTTTAGAGCAGGCGCACACCTTTGACTAAATCATCGCACAATAGTTGTGCGATTGTCGGTTGTTTCGCAGCGAATTCAACTGTTTCGTTGCACAACTAAAAATCGTGTAGTGTTCGCACCTCCATATAAGATTACACGAATCAAACTACTAGCGACTGTTGAATCAAAGAGGTGTGCACTCTCTCACATAAGTCGGAGTTTACATATAATATTTTTTTTAGTGGATAACCAATCGATGTGAGTTTAAAATAGCGTTCGTTAAAATATTGAATCAAAGTGATATTTAACCTAGTTCAATTTCTTTATGAATTATTTATTTAATTCTTACATTTATTTTCAATTTGTAACTGGTATATCGCAGGCCACTTGGTGGTGGGTGGAAGAGGGAGAGGGCGGGGTGGAGGGCGGAGTGTCAGTGTTCCAACTTTGAGACTTGTTTGTTGTTTGTCACTTTCTGTCAAAGTTCGAGTGACGCTCTTAGCTTTCGACTCCGCACGTTTCGTGGCTAAAGTTTACTGGATTGTCTTTTTCGGTGATATTTGATACTATTCAATATTGAATTAGTGAAAGTGTATTTTATCACTTTGAAATTTACATTTTACAGGGTGTACAACCCTTTCATTACATTTTAACCGTAAATTAATAAAAATGATTATATTAAAAAAAAAAACATTAGAAGGTTACGACTAAATTAATTCTACTGATCTAATGTATCATTATTATAAATTAGCTTTCAGTCACGGCTCCGTCCGCGTTTGGCTTAAAAAAAAACTATACTAAGTAGCCTATGTCAAATTTCATTGAAGTCCTTTCAGCAGTTTAGGCTAAAACCTCTAACAAAATTCCATCCCTTTATATAAACTTTCGCATTTATATGATTTCCGACTTTACAGAAGTCCAATATAGAGTATGTACTTACGTGAATACAGTTGCATTTTCCTCATAAACAACTGCAAAAAAAGAGAAATACTGCAACAAAAATTTATCGTCCAGAACAGGCTGGAGAGTCCCTTAAAGTTTATGAAGCTTGCAAACAACGACTACTGTCCGAAAGTCGCTACAAACTTCGATTCCGGGCCACGATAACGCATGTTGTTAATTGCAGTTTGCGGACACAGGATACGATAAACTGATACGTTTTACATGTTCTTTAAAAAAATGTTTATAGAAGTGATGATATCAAAAAAATGATTTTTAGTAGTAAAATTAATTATTCATTTATTAAAAAAAAGTTTAGTATTAAAAACTAGAAAGTGTTAAGAATGAATGTAGATGGCTACAAAGGAAGAGGAAGACCGAAGAAATTATGGATGGATTGTGTGAAAGAGGATATGCTTAAGAAAGGAGTGGATTCAGATATGACGGCTAATGAGATGTATGGAAGAGCACGCATACTGTGCCGACCCTTCATAACGGATAAGGGCAAGTTGACGATTTATTTTGTCTAATTCATGTCACTTAGTCCTTTTAGTATGGTGTTGGTACTCTCCCGAACTCTGCATAAATACTGGTTGATAAGATTTACCAGACAAATCGATTTTAAGTCTTATTTGCTCTTTACCTTTGTAATATAGACTTTATAATGTAAAAAATGACTAAAGCTCTTAATCTAACAATGGGAAAAATCGCAGTTCACGTCAACAAATTCCTGCAATCTTTGCACAAACTGCTCCTTTAAATTAAGAAGAAAACCTTAACTGAAGGATATTATTTTCGTGCGAAGTCTGCATTTTTAATAGCAAACACTAACTCGAATTATAGGAGAATTTTTTCCTCATATGCACACTTAAAATCTTCATTTACAGATTAATGCTGGGTTCTAAGAAACGAACAGACTAAATAAGAAACCGTCAATGTTAAAATACTTTACTTTTTGATAAAATCATTATCTTTAGTACTTTACATCCATGAATATTCTAAAAATGTTACATTTGCTCACGAGTTGCATAAGATTCGGAAGGGGTCATGGATCGATCGATTCGGTCTGAGAATGCATTGTGTTGGCCGACCTGATATTCCTACAAGATCAAATTACTTGTACAGGTTGAACATAATACGTATGAAGATATAAACTATAACGATGTTTGAAAATTAATCGTGTTTATTTAAAGTATGAAAAACGTTTTGGACAACCTTTTACGAAGTGTAAAATAATGCTTGATCCTAATTTTACTCGATGTTAAGAATGAGCAAACACTTAACAAACTATCGCACAACTGCGATTGTCGACTGTTTCGCAGCCAATTCAACTGTTTAGTTGCACAACTAAAAATCGAGTAATGTGCGCACCTTCATAAAAGTTTATAGGAATCAAAGCTCGACTAAACAGTTATGCGATTACTAAGTCAAAGGTGTCCGCACGCTCTAAGAAAATGTTTCGTGTCGTTTTTTTTTTAATTTATTTTAA